ACAGATTGCTTCAGTTCAGAACGCGTTAGCGAAAGTCTTTAAACCTTGCGTAACGATCAAATCATTTCATATTTGTTCATTAGTATTTCTAATGTAATTCTGAAAAAAAAAACTAGCAGAAGGTACTGTTACAACCAATCATTTAAGTCAGTGAAATAGGCTCTGGCTACATGATTAAACAGTTATAAAATGAGGACTATGGCTTCTACCTAATTTGCATATGTATTAAGAAATATCCTCAGAGCATCTCAGCCACAACACTGCAATTACTATGCTTTGTTATGCCATTTTACATGTGTGCCACAAATGACTCTGCACTAGAGGAAAAAGCTCACACGCTTTGCTGCAGCTAAACTTTTTGACCAGATAGCATTCACGTATCACCAACGAAAGCACAAAACTGTGTGCCTATCACAGCCCCCGTCTGGATTTTCAAAGCATCTACCTTAGCCTTCAGTAGAAGTGACACATACGTTTAACAGCTGCTGAATGGGTTTAACAGATCTGAGGAATGGCTTGTACACCTAAAGACATCTGTGTTCCCTCTCCTTCAGTTCCCTCTCCTCACAAAACCCTACTTTTTGACACGCACGTACTCCTCTACGTAAGTTTTGCCTCTGAGGTCAAGCACAGTTTTTGTACATTTTCACAGATTAAGGTCACTGCATCTGCTCACAAGAAACTCTACCCTCTCTGAAGTGGCAAAACCAGGACTGGAGCCTTAGTACTGACAGGGCTCTTGCGGGACAGACCTTCAGCGCTCAAACGGATCGCTCCAACTGTACCAAACCACAGGACTCAATAACATTTCATTGGCAGGTACGCTCAAAATACACAGGTGCAATAAAGGCAAGGCAGATCAGAGTACTGAGCAATTGATCTAAAGCTTTCAAAACCTGACAGAGGATTATGTCTAATCAGAGAAAATGGTTCCTTTTCTTTTCTCTCCTACTAAGTAAAATCTTGGCAAAGAAATAAAGCACATGAATTCTTCCCAACCCAGAAATTCATTTCACATTATAGCATTGACTCTTTCTGTCTCTAGACTATTACAGAAAGTTTCTTTAGAATAAAGTAGAACAAGAAGAAATGTACACAGTTTTTTACTGAAAAAATAAATCTACTTCTCCATAATATTTCTGTGATTTATTCAAACAGAATACAATGGAATTACCATTATTATACCCCTTTATCTGAGCCCTTTTCTGTATAGCACTGAGTTGTTACTATACTATAGAAAGAGCAAGCACAACTGAAATGTACACAGTGAAAGAAAAAGAGCAAGTAAAGCTCTTCTGTCAAAGTAACTCTTTTCACAACTACATGTCATCTATAAAAATAAGGTCTAGGCAACATCAAAAAGTGTTCAAGTTTCAATAAATAACCATCAATGCCCCAAGTTTGCACTGGCACAAGAAATATGGAGCTTACAGTCTAGAAAAGTATTTTCATGTGACTGAGTCTGAAGTACATTTCAGCCTACGCAAAATTTACAACAAAATCATTCTCCTCCAGGGTTTGATTTTTAAATTGAAGCCATTCAAGTGCTTTAGTTGCAAGAGCACTGGCATATTTGTCTTAACTCTAAACTGCAAATTAAAGCTCTAGAGAAAGACGTATTAAAAAAAGCTTTATCAATACCAAGAAAATATACATTGCCATGTTATTTTTAAATATATATATACACAGATATGTACACGCAGATATTTTCAAAAGGATATGATTCTGGCTTTTATGTTTGTTTGTTTTTTTTTAACTTTGAAAAAGTTAAACGGGAATTACTTTACCTCCCGAAATCCCTACAGACCTCAAGTACGTCCCTTGAGGGGAGGGGGGGGGAAGAAAAAAACCCAACCAACTAACCAACAACAACAGCAAAACACAGTACAACCACCCCGAAACCACCCACGGAGACCCTTACTTTCCAACGTAGCTACTCGACTCGACGTCGCCTGCGTACTCAGTGCAACATAAATATCCCTTGCAACACGCCTAACACCCGGCTTCGGGAACCTCCTCCTCCAGAGGCGAATAAATAATAATAATAATAATAATAATGAATAATAATAAAAATGTAATATTAGGACTGTAATACTGACCCATGCTCAAGACAAAATAGTATTCAGGAATGAGGAAGCGAGATCAGAGAAGCTGCAAACTTGGAGTAGGTATTAATACTGAGAGATTTCAGCTGTTCACATAAAGACTGGATCAATGCTATGTCAAGATGGGATGCAGAAATAATATTTTGAACTTGATGACTGATTACACTGTTCAAGGCAAAAAGAAACACTGTTTTGGTTTTTATTTTGATTAGAGCTTAATTTGAGAGATTAGTGGGAGAACTGCTCTGTAATACTGACCTTAGTTCAGTTAAATTCAATACTATAACAGAGAAAGCAGACCAGATAAACCAAGCACATAGATACTCAGTTTCAAGAAAGAGAACTACATAAACATGAGAAAATTAAAACAAAAAAAAGGCTAAAAGGAGAAGTCTACAAACCAGCTTGGAGACTGTTAAAAATAAATGCTGCATTAAAAACCTAGATAAATCGAATGCCAAAATTCAAAGAGAAAACAAACATACAAGGGTGTCTGGGGACAACCTCTGAATGAAAATAATCTTTAAAAGATATAGGGATCCTTATAACTATCCTGGTACTGAAGTCCTAATACTGGACAGGGAGAGGGCACTGCTCATATGTTCTGATATGACAGAAAATAGAGGCCATGTTATTGTCTTTTCTCCTTGTCTTTGCTGTGGTGTCTTTCCCACTAGCTGCAGCCAAGTCTGTGCTGTTCTTTTGTACTTATAGAATAAACCTCTTGAAAAATTACCCAACTACACAGCAAATTATGTTCAAATGTTAAAACCTAGCTATACAGATTCATTGCAGCTATTGAGTTCAGCTGGATAAAGGTTTAGCAGAAAGTGAAAACTATGACCACCTTCAGATGGACTGCACGAAAGGCATTGGCTGTCTGGATCATTTTCCTAGTAGGCGAGTCAGTCTGCTGCCTTTGACAAGCATTCAATGTAAGAGAAAAAGAGCAAATGTTAAAGTAGAGCCTTTCTTTTCTGACAGCTTTGAACTTCTATTTTTTCCTTCTGAATTAATTGAATAGTGGGAGGAGTCAGGGGTGAGCAGGCAGTAGTTGTGATTTCCCCCTTTTTATTTCAAACTCTGGCATTATCAAGATATATATCTGCTGATCAGTTTGGGAATAGTTTCAGATCACTTGCATTATTTTAATATTATTGTAAAAGCCTTCAACCTCTGGAGGTAGAACCAGAAACTTGCACTGAAATCTGACTGAACAGCTGTCTCTCTTTCTCTTCATAATATAATATTTTACTTTTCAAAGTCAAATTTTAATATAAAGATTCTCATGTAGAATACATTTCATCATTTTCACCGTACCTTTATTTTTTAAAATAAACCATATAATAACCATCTCATTGAAAAATAACAGAAACTAGCTGTGTCTTTGTCATGGAGGAATGGGGAGTGATCCACTTCACTCATAAGAGAGAAGCAGCAATATGTTTTATTGATATAAGATAGTGATTTAACAAAGTTCAGTCATAAATAAGACAGTGATTTAACAAGGGTTGATGGCAAAGTTCACTCGATTATTTACTGCATGGAGGACAGAGTCAGACAAAAGTGTCAAGGAGACCCTCCTGTTGAGTCACGAGGTTCAGAATGGAGCCCCCTTGTTTTCTAAACTCCTTCTCGGAGGAGTTCGGGTGCGGCTGGATCCAGTCTTAGTCCCCAGCTTGGTCAGCGCTTTATGTCTGAGGGATTACGTGCGCAATTAATCAAAGAGGTAACTTAGCAAAGTCTGCAAAGCCTCAGCATGCTATTAGTCACTTACTGAGGATCTGCCATGGGCAAGGAATCTCTTGATCTCCGGGAGTAACCTTGACAGGCGTCCCTGTTCAAGGGGAGATTCACTGCCATGCAGCCAGCTGCCATGCAGGAGAGCTTAGCAGGCTCTGGGCTGCAGCATTATTTAAATCTGGAAGTTCTGGGGTTTTTTCAGTTTGCGAGTTTTTTTTTTTTTTTTTATTGTTCGTCTTTGTTTGAGACAACTTATTCCCCCCTGATCACTGAGATTCTTGTGGGATGAGGAAATCACTTCCCACCCAGTGTATTAAAGAAGCCCTGTATCAGGAGATATTAACATGATCCTGACAGAGCTGATGAGAGCTCTTCTTAAGTCACGCAGCCTTTTAAGTCACCTCGCTGACTCAATAAACTCAGGGCCTCCATGGCTCACCTAAGATTCACCTGTTCTCCCCATCACTTTAGGACCTACCAATATCTCTTCCTATATTTTTTACTCTTCAGCAGTGTACTTGTGCTTTCTTCCCAGACATTTCCTCTCTGCTCATCAGGACCAAGAGCTTGCTCTCCCAGCACCTAGGAGTCCTGCTCAGCTCTGCTGGACCCCGTTGCTTTTGTGTGGCTGTGCCAGTGTGCCTTCACTGTGCCTAGGTTTGATCCAAAACCAGAAGGAGGAGCAGGCAGACACTACTGTCAAGTCAGGGAGGAGTTTGTCCCAGGCATGTGTTTCCCCTTTCACTTAGCATCAGGCAGGAGACCAGCGATCTGTGTGTCAGTGCCCTGAGTGCCCTAACAGGCTTTAGTGGCCCTTAGCAGCCTCCTCTGGGGCCAGGAGCCCCACTTCAGCTCAGCCCTGGGCCATCAGTCCCTGCCCCAGTGACATTGTTGCGGTGCCTGGACCAATACTGTAGCCTTGTTTCAAGTTCTGTCTCCGGCACCGTTTCCTGCTGCTCCTGCCTGGACCCTGAACCTGGTTCATCACGTTATCTTGCAGGGGGCTGTCCACAGGCCTCATTACCAGTGACCTGCTCTGCCCGCCCTGCTCAGCTGCTGTGCCCTGAGGACCTGGCTTGCGCTCTGGTCACCCCCAACTCCCAGCTCATCTTCCTTCGTGGGGCAACCCCACTTTTGCTGCTCCCTGACACTATGGCAGATTTGCGGGCCAAAGAAATAGAAAAATCTGCAGAAGCTAGTAAACAGCAGATCTTGAGAACAGGGTTGGTGGGTATGCAGAAACAGGAGTCTTGTGGAAGGTGGCATGTAAAAGGGATAGAGGTGCTTCAGAAATGCTGGGGGAGGTGGGCAGGAGGAACCATGGAGGGCATCTGGAAGAGGACAAGGTATCATGTGAGCAAATCACTAAGCCCTGCTGGAGAGAGCTGGCTGAGAGGGTGGGTACACTAGATCATAAGGACAAGGGGGAATGGAAGCAGGGAAACTGAAGAGGTATCTAGAAAGAGAAAGAGGAAAACATGACTGGCAGACCTCAAGAGACAAAGGGGAACTGGAAGAACTGAGAGAGGAAAAAGGATAGCTTCAGGAAAAAGGAGGAGTGAAGAAGCCACTTATAGACCTGAGTTGCTGATGAAGTTCAAAGGAAGAAGTGTATATGGAAAGGTAGAGTTACCTGGATGGCCTCAGAGAAACCAGAAAGGCTATTTCTAAGGAGGTAGAAAGCTTGGTGGTTTGGGAAACAGGAGTCTGTGAACATCCTCAAATAGAGGAATACAGTGTTAGAAGTTCGGAGAACTTGGATGAAAAAATGAGAAAGGAAACTATTTGAGTAAAGAGGGAATATCTTGTGGGAGAGAGGCCGCATTAGAAAACAAAAGGACTGAAGGAGCTAAAGAGAAAGGGAGACTATAAAGTGTGTGAGAGGAAAAGGAGCGGTTCTGGGGGATGGAAGATGTGTCAGACTGGCCTCTCCCAGAAGATCAGATGGCTGTTGCTGTTTCTGAAAGCGGTCCTGGATAAACTATTCTTTGCAGAACTGCTATCTGTGGGATGTTTTAAAGGATAATTGGTCTATGGCACCGTACGTAAGAAAAGAGGAATCAGACTGCACTGTATAGGTCTTAAACACCTGTGATGATGGTAGCTGATTCTTGTAGTTACTCAGTTTTGCTCTGGTAAGGGTTAAATATACGATCATAGGGAGGTAAAGCTCATTCCAGTTATCTCCTGCAGTGGATGACACTAAAGATAGGCCCTTTGGCCATTCATCTGCCAAGTGCTATTGTCCATTGACACAAGACAGTTCAGTTCAGTGATGTAATGCAGCCTGGGAGTGTGGACCCACAAAATGGAAAAATATAGAAGCCACTTCGAGTAAATCAACTCACTTTTACCGGCGTACTGATTTACCTAATTTCTGTCTAATACTTGCTGGTATTAGAGGGCTGCTAGTGAACTTTTGGTTAATGACATGGAGTTTTTTTTTT